TTAATTCCATGTTTAGCTAAACTGTCTTGAGTCCGTTATGTGAGGACCGTCGTCTCCGACGGGACTCGGTAACGAAGTTGGCTTAAATCTTTATTTGAAAATTTTGTTTTGGTCTTTGTTTTTAAATTTAATTTAAATAGCCTTGTCACGAGAGTGAGAGGTTACTTAATATTATTTTTTCACGAGAGTGGAAAATTAACTAAGGTTCAAACCGACACTACAAGAGCGTGGGGGTTGAACCAGATAGTAGAAACTAGGCATTAATCCTAAACACAGCGAGAGCGCTTTAGGATTAATTAGGACTTGTTCAATTTTCAAAACACATTCCTTTTTTAAAATGGGCGAGCGAGAGAAAAATCTCATGGTTAAGGAATGTGGCTTTATTCAAAACCACGAAAGTGTGAGGTTTAGTCTTTAAATTGATGTTTTCTACTAAACATATTTTTAACATAAGTATAAGCCAACGAGTTATAGAGTCCAGGAGGTACACGGAATATACATTCCGGTCTCTCTTTTCTTATATATTTCCCTAATTTTATTTTATTTCAGTTTTAGTTCTTAGTTTCCCCTAAATAAATTATTCATTAGACTTAGCTTTACAAAGCAACGATAGATTACAGTAGGTTGACATTGGTCTCTGTGGGTTCGACAATCTTTTATATTACTTTGATATTTCCGTGCACTTGCGGACGCATCAAGTTTTTGGCACCGTTGCTGGGGACCAACAGTCAATATTGTTATTTTCGTTGTTGCACCGTATAGACTAAGACACTCTTACCTTAATTAATATGTATCACCCAAATATTTTCTACAACTTCCACTCTCAGTATTCCGAGGAATCACAAGAATCCCATAAATTCGACCTCGAAATACTAATGGAAGATTTCAATGCGCCACTAACTCACTCTTATCCCAATTACCTCTACTACCAATTCAAACATTTTGAGGAGTCGCAAGAATCCCATAAATTCGATCTCGAAACATTACTGGAGGATCACAATGTGACGCTAACTTATCCTTAACCAAATTTCCTCTACAATCACCACGCCTAATATTTTTAGGAATCGCGAGAATCACAAAATTCCACTCTCGACACATTAATGGAGGATCTCACTGTAACACTAACTCGCTCTAGGCTAGAATCTATGATGAATGAGCGCTTTGTGAAGACACAAAATGCGACACAAACACACTTTGAGGAACCACAAGAATCCCATAATTTAAACCTCGAAACATCAATGGAGGATTTTAATACGATGCTGACACACTCTAGGATAGAATCTATGATAAAGCACTTTCTAGAGACCCAAACTATCCAAAATGAAGAGTTAAGAAGACTAAGTCTTCATAATAATGAAACCCTTAGGCAGCTGAACAATGCGGTTGAGTCCCTTTTGACTCACAACATGGCCTTGGAGACTCAAATCTCCTTGCTTGAACAAAAACCTCTAGAACCATTCCCTAAGGAGCATGCGAATATTGTAACAACCAGTAGTGAAAAACAAATCAAAAATCCTAAGGAGAGTGATACTGAGGTTGAAGAAAGTAAAAATGAGGCTGAGAAGAGTTCTGATGAGAAAAGAGTGGAGATTGAGAAAAATAGACCGACACCATACGAAAGGAAGGTTATCGAAGAGGTAGACAAGGAAACATCTATTGTTGTTCCCCCTCTCTATACCCCACCGATTCATTTCCTACAAAGGTTTGTGGACACTAAGGTAGACTCCAAATCCAAAACGTATGTAGAGGTATTGAAAAATATCCATACCAATGCGACCTTGTTTGAAGTCTTGCATAAAAAGAGAAAGTTAGAGCACCATGCAAGTAGGGAAATCAACAGTCTTAAGAGGGGAAGGTTAGCCTTTGAGGTGATGGATGAAATAACTAAGCCCAAAATTGAAAAGCTAATACTCAAGATAGATCCAGAACCACCACCACCAGTTCAAAAGAATGAACCACCCCACAAAAGAAAGAAAAGAAAAGGAAAGGGATATGTGAGATAGCTTGATAAGTGGCAATGGAAACCAAAGATGATTAAAAATTCGATCGAGGAGTCATTCTCGAGAGAATCACCATGAGTGCTGACACCCTTGAATCGTCGAGCTACCAACGTTAAAAGAAGCGCTTCGTGGGAGGAAACCCACAATTTTTTTAAAGTTTTTGCTTTTGTTTAAGTTTGTAAAATAAATATATCGATCGCTTGGCACCTATCAGTTGCATGTTGGCAACTACTGAGGCGAGCATTGATTAGGTTTTTATTCCTTTTCCCATTTTTTACTGAAACATTGAGGACAATGTCTGGTTTAAGTGTGGGGGAGGAACTTTACCGCTTTCCATTTATCGCTTCCTAATTTGATTTATTATTTTCTAGTTTATTGCATGCTTTTATGATTTTATTTGTTTTTGGTATTTGGTCGAGTCATTACATGTGATGTCCAGTCTGTATGCCTGTTTTTCAGTTGTTATTGAATTTTCCCGAAATTTTAAAACTTTAACCTGCGATAAAAAGTTTCTTGGATACATGGAAGACACACTCTGAAAGTATATAGGTTGTCACACTTTAGACTGTGTTAGAGAGACTTGGAAAAGTTTCAATAAAATCGATACTGTTATGACATCTAAAACCCCCTCATTATGTGATATCGATTTGGGTACCCATTATGCTGAGACCTTAGGCTCATGTTTTCAAAGTAGCTCTTAAGTAGTTTATATTAGCAGTCAGCTCCATCTTAAACATAAACTATGTAGGGAGTAGATGAATATAAGTGAATGATCCCAAAGATTCTAAAAATTATCTGCCATACTAAATTTAAAATAAGGAATGTACCTATTAAGTTAGGTGACCCTCACCCGGTCACTTAATCCAACGATTGTGGAACCTACAAAAATATAATAAAATAACCCATTGTCAGCTGGTTCAGAGGTGTCTGGTGCTGAACTTGGTAGGGCGGACTACAGTCCGATCCACCGCAACTGCAATTGGTTAAATAAAAGGGGTTGCCAAACTTATGTACTAGAACCCCTAGAAAAGGATCAGAGTCGCTAACCGATTTCCCTACTATGTGTGTGTACGGATAATGGACTTAATGTGATTGCGCTTGAATTAAAAGAGTGAAAGAAAAATGAGAGATATAGGTTGAGCTATAATGGCATTATTCAAATTGGTTTCCATAATGAGGGAGTCTTTGAACATCGTGTCGTTACGGTGTCCTTCGTATTGAACATTTAGTACCTATTGATCTAACATTAGCCTATTAGCTGCGTATGGTTAGGAGTTGTGTCATACCCTTGTTTTACATCGCGCTTAATCATTTTCTTTATCGTGTTAGTTGATTGATTGAGGACAAACAATGATTTAAGTGCGGGGGAATTTAATAACGCAAAATTATATCATATATTCGACTTAACTCGCATGCATTTTAGTTTCATTTTTGTTCAATTTTATCTTGGTATACCGGTATTTATATTTCATTTCAGGTACTTTCTAACACAAGGCTTCCATGTGGAAAAGATAGAGAAATGACCAAGATACTAAGAAGAATGGAATAAATAAGCAAAAAGAAAAGAAAATCTGCACACAGAAGGTTGTGTCCCTCGCCACACCTTATGTGGCCCTTGCCACACATTTCAAATATGTGGCCCTCGCCACGCTTCCTGTGGCCACCGCCATAGGCTTCTTATAACAGGCCCACGTTCCATTCCCATGTCAAAGCCACAAGACCATCACTTATCCTGTTTTCTCTCTGCAAGACCAGGCCTGGCGAAAAACTCTCCACGAAGGAACTATTCCAGATTCTTCTCGAGGGAATTACGTGAACCAAGCAAGGGATCTATAAAAAGGGCGATGATTGACAGTTACATGGGGTTCCACCATTTTTCGTTTAGAGAAGATTATTGTTTTTAGTTCTTACGCAGAAAAGTTTACCATGTAAAAGTGATAGTTTCTCACATCGAGAAACTACCACACCATTAGTTTTAGGCGTTGTTTTCTTTTATTTCAATTATGTACCTGATTGTCAAGCGTGTCGGCATATTATGAAGATAATTCCAGTTTCTTTTACATGTTTCTCTTTATCACATTTCTTATTTTTATTGTTTAATTTGTCAAATTTAATTACCATTTTGTTTTTAATTGCAATTGTTATTTTTAATTCGCTTTTACTTAATTTCATGTTTAGCTAAACTGTCTTGAGTCCGGTATGTGAGGACCGTCGTCTCCGACAGGACTCGATAACAAAGTTGGCTTAAATATTTATTTAAAAATTCTGTTTTGGTATTTGTTTTTAAACTTAATTTAAATAGCCTTATCACGAGAGTGAGAGGTTACTTAACATGATTTTGTCACGAGAATGAGAAATTAACCAAGGTTCGAGCCAGCACTACGAGAGCGTGGGGGTCGGGCCGGATGATAGAAACTAGACATTAATCCTAAACACAGCGAGAGTACTTTAGGATTAATTAAGACTTGTTCATTTTTCTTCCTCAATTAAAATGGGCGAGCGAGAGTAAAATCTCATGGTTAAGGAATGTGGCTTTATTCAAAACCACGAGAGTGTGAGGTTTAGTCTTTTAAATTGATATTTTCTACTAAACACATCTTTAACATCAGTATAAGCCAACGAGTTACAGAGTCCCTTAGGTACACGGAATACACATTCCGGTCTCTATTTTCTTATATATTTTCTTAATCTTATTTTATTTCAGTTTTAGTTCTTAGTTTCCCCCAAATCAATAATTCATTAGCCTTAGCTTTACAAAACAATGATAGATTACAGTAGGTTGACATTTGTCTCTCTGGGTTCGACAATCTTTTATATTACTTCGATATTTTCGCGCACTTGCGGACACATTAGGCGGCTGAAGTTGGTATCAGCGGACACACGCGGTTATCGAAGCACATGTTTAACTACTTTTCCAAGATCATATAAAAGTGAGTCATTCTCATCATCTCCTAGATGGTTCATATCTTTTTCCTTCCTATCTTCAACTTGAAGGGGTGGTCACACAAAAATTAGTCCACGATTCAATGCTCCATCCGACAGACTATTGAACCACTGCCTGGCCGAGACAACCAAAGTTAATGGAAACAACTTGAATTTGGAGACTTTGTCAGCACTGAAATAGTTCAATCAGTCATTGACAAGTCGCAAGTGCTCGTATGTATCTCCCTTTGCATCGTACACACCTAGCTTGAGCGACTTCTCTATGGATTTTGATATTTTGCTTTCCGAAATTCTGGTGCACAGTGGATGCTTCTGCTGAACCTTCAACAATCATTTTTTTCTTGATCCGGGGATGAGCAGGACTGCCTAAGTCTCCCTTGGGGCTTTGGGGAGGACATTGATGCTTCTTGCTCCTCTTCATCCTTTTTTGTCGCGGTCAGTTTTGGGTCGACAATGTGAGTTCTTCTGGGCAAAAAATCTTAGTTTGGAAGGTGATCCCTCGCTAAGGCACGTTGTGGAGGTTTGCTTCAAGGCAAAACAACCTTTCTTTTATCACTTGTGAGTTTGTTGATGAACGATGTTATACATGTTATTTAGTAGCTCATTAGCGCTTTGTAATTCAAAGTTTGCTCACAATAACCGGAAACCAGATAAAACTTCAAGTTACGCAACTGAAATTTAACGTTAAATCGAAAGCAATTGAACATATCCAATATCCAATTATATGAGGAGTCTACTATTTGAGGTTAAATCATAATGTTTTGCTGAGGAAGTGGAGGTAGAGGCAGTCGATTGATCATGTAATATTATGTGTTTATATAATGACATGCTGTGTATCATTTACATAATTATATCATTTGTTGCAAAAGCAACATCCTTGACTTATTCGTTTCATTTTTTTCAGGATAATAGGAAAGTCAGAACCTAATAGGACATGTGATAGAACGTGTACCTGATCCACTATCTCCGAAATGAACATTAAAGAGTAACATGATCAGGACACCACTCTACTAATCATGTTACTGAAATGCATATTAAAAGTAAGTTTAGTTTATTAAAGAACCCCCTTTATTTCCATGTTGGATGAACAATAACATTATTTATTTCTTGGCACTTGTCTCAATTTTATTTCCTGAGAATCGTAGAATTCAGTGATGCCCAAAATAGTGCCGGCATAATTATTTTTGAAACTATAACAGGTTAATAAGATTCATCTCTTTCTTCATACTAGCATAGCCTATAATTATATTAACAATATTCTACAATTATGGTTATGATTTATTAATTTCTTATGGTAAATTTTAAATAAAAAAAGCGTATTTTCTTTTTAGATTCATTGAATAATAAATGTATTTGATATTTTATGTAAATCGAATACATTCATTATTCAATAAATTTAAAAAGAGAATATTTATTTATAATAATGATCGGAGAGAGTACAATATAAATGTATTTCAATGGAACTAATTGTCTTCTTCGCCGAGTTCACCTCCAAGTATAATTTGTGCAATATAATAATAGAGAATATGATGAGTCCTACTTCTATTTCACATTAATAGTTTAGATTTAATTTTCAGGATATGAAAGATCAACACTATCTTAGAATAAGTAAGACCAACTTAAATGAATAAGTCACATTTTGCACTAAACTTCTACTGGTGGAGGTTGGACTTTGAAATACCCTGGTTTTATTAGAATAAGTAAGACCAATTTTAATTTAATAGAATAAAAAAGGTCATCCTTAAATGTAGAACTTGAATGTTCGATTTTTCTTGTATAAATAGAGCATCATGCTCAATTCCAAATCAATCAAACACAAATTCACATTATATAAATTTCTGAATCTATTATGGTATTCAGAGCTTTTTTCGCCACCATTATGGCTTCATAGATCCTATATTTTCGTCTTCTGCTACAAACTCGCCGTATTTCTCTAATGGCGAGTCTGTCATCACCGACACTCTCATCTACGACATCGAGTATTCCTTTCGCTACTTTCAACTACAATTTTTCAGGAAAATAAATGATAAGAACTATCTAGTGTGGTTGCAGCAGGTTGAATTGGGCTCTGAGCGCACCGTCTTCATCATTATTGTGTTACTCCACGAATTCCTGACCATTACTTATCTGAAGCAGATCGTCGTACTGGTAACATGAATCCTGCATTCACTGTGTGGGAAGTGGAAGATCAATTACTTATCTCGTGGCTTCAATCGTCACTTTCTGCATCGCTTCTCCCTAGCGTCATTGGCTGCCATCACACGTGGTAGCTTTGGGATCAGATTCACGAGAATTTCCATTCTAAAGTTAAGGCACAAGCATGATAGCTGAGAACTGAGTTGTTGACACTCAAGAAAGGTACAAACATTGTTACTGAATTTCTCGACAAAATCAAGGCAATCTTCGATTCTCTAATGTCAATTGGTGAAACAGTTTCTACGACTGAGCAATTGGATGTTACTCTTGAAGGAATGCTTTCAAAATATGAATCTCTAGTTACACTTATTAACAATAAGGTTGATTGGTTTGATTTTGATAAGATCAAACCATTACTACTTGCGCATGAACAAAGAGTCACCAAACAAAAAATTATTGAAGAAGTTGCTTCATTGAATGTAAATCAAGTGGCATCTTCAAGCAACTAGAATGTCACTCCTCAAATAAACTATACTGCTGATACTCCGTCAAATGACAACTCTAAATATGAAAATGCCAATTATGGACGTAATTTTAATGGTGGTCGTGGTGCCCGTGGGAGCGGTCATTTCGGTCGTGGTCGTGGCCGTGGGAATATTCAATGGCAAGTGATCGATAAAATAGCAAGTGTACTATTTTTTACCAATGTAGTAATGAAAGGAAGTTATCCCGTGTATCGATCTCGAGGACTGCGTTAGAATTAACAGTGTTGAAAATGATTCAATTAGACAAAAAGGGCATTGGTGTGGTTTGAAGAAAGGTAATAAAATCTGCTATGTGAATCTTAAAACAAAAAGTAAAGAGTGATAACACAAAATGATGAAACATGCTAGGGATAAGATGTATGAATTGCTCCGTAGTGAACTGAACCTCCATTTACACTATATATGCTTATGTAATCTAATACCGATTCTCAAGAGTTACTTCCCCTAATTCCTTAGTCAGAAACCATTGACATAAAATTTTAAATTCTAATTCCTTAGATATTCAAACATATGTCAAGCACATGTAAAAGATCAAGAATTTACGGTCAAAACTATTAGATCCTTATTCCTAAGAGAAATTAGCGACGATATTATACAAGTAGCGATAAAGTGATCGGTCAAACCTACTTTACCCATAGATCAATACCCTATTTTCCAAAAGGATAAGCAGTAGGAAATTGTATAATACAGTGAATACATAAAAACATAGATGTTATAAAAATATAGCAATTCGGTTCATCACAGAAGCAATTCAGAGATACCCTATAGCATTGGGGGGTTTAGCTTCTCATAATATTCAAAGAAAATACTAATTTAAAGTTAAACATTACAAAGGATGGAATTGCTCTGATCTTCAATTGCTTCCGCTCTTGTTGATCTTCGTCATCCAAACCCTTGATCGTTCTCGTTCTCTTTTCTTTCTTGTCCCTCCAAAAGTAAGTCCCTTGTACTCCTAAAAACTAGGTCTAAATAGTCTCATATCACCCCCCCAGCTCCCTGCAAAGTCCGAAATATCCTCCAAGAATTTAGAGTGATTTCAAAAAATCACTTTTCTGTCCCGTATCTGCCAACACGGGCCGTGTCAGGTGACACGGGAACCCGTGTTGGGTACTGAAGTCCTCATCTACACAAAGCTTTGCTAGGTATTCTGACACGGGCCGTGTCATGTGACACGGGCGCCCGTGTCAGCTACTGCAGTCTTCCTCTACCTCGTCTGTGTCAGCATTCTTCTGACACAGGCCGTGTCAGGTGACATGGGCGCCCGTGTCATCTATTGTAGTCCCCCTCCATTCTCGCTCGTGCTAGAATTTTCTGACACGGGCCGTGTCAGGTGACACGGGCACCCGTGTCAGGTGACACGGGCACCCGTGTTAGCTACTGTATTTCCGAAGGAAATGCTTCGGAACTTGTCAGCTTCACCTCTATTCTTGTGCAATTTCGCCCGGACCTGAAAATACAAAACCCACCAGACCAAGATTTCAAAAGTACCTTATTTAAAAAAATTTGAACTAACTTAATGCAAATAAACAAAAAATGTGAAAATTAAAATACGAGACAAAAACAGTAGAAAAACTAAGTAAGGTGTTACCAAATATGTGGTTTCGTGCCGGATAATAGATAGACAACCAGACAGAAATGTGACCGATCACAACCCCAAACTTATCTCATTGATTGTCCTCAAGCAAAGCTTAAGTCCGCATTATAGGTTACCTCAGAATTTCAACAAACCACGCACCACTGAGATTATTCGAAATTCGCTTACTTTCTTCTAGGCCTTTCATTCTTACCCGACTTACTGCAATCAACTACACTTTCAGAATTTAGCACCTCTTCCTCTGTCAGTTTTTCACACTCTCTCCAGATCTCTCGGGTTTAAGTGTTTATACTCTCATTTTCAAGGTATGCACCTTCATCTACTGAGCTTGCACAACATTTGTAAACATAACACAAACACATAAAACATGCACTATACGAGGACTTTATAGGTTGTAACAGGGCTAAGGGACAAGGTGGGATATACACTAAAAAAGGGAAACAAAGGGTTAAATGGCTCAGATTCGGTGTTATCTATCTCATAGTTGTGTACTTGTTATTTTGCAACTCACAGGGTAGGACACATAATATTCGAGATCTTTCAGTTTCTTCTCCTCAAATGGGTACTGGAGGAACTATGATACGCTTCTCTTTTTTTTTTATTCGGAATTTCGGTGACGAGTGCATCATCGCAATATTTTTTTTATCTTTTGTAGTTCTATATATTTTTCTCCTCTTTTTTTTCCCGAATGCACTCTGTTTTACCCCAAAATTTTCCCTCTCATTTCATCAACATTTCTCATCACAAGACTCTTGGAACTCAAGATCAAGCTAGGGTTGCTCTGCTCAAGACACCTCCTTGCACTGTTGACCTAAATTAGGGTTTGAGTTTGCACAGGGATGTTTTGACCTACAATGCCCAAAGTTACTTTCATACTTCATGTTGAACTCACAAGTTTGTCCATACCAAGTTTCAAGCCTTGGTTCAAATTTTTGCCCAGTCAATTGGACAATTGACCTAGAAATCAGCTGTATTGGGGAAAAAGTCAACTGTGGCCAATTGACAGTCAAACCTCATGAATTTTGACCCACATCAACATTATGAACTCATATGAACCATTTGATTAAGTTTGGATCACAATTCCACAAGAAATTTGATCAGATCACCAAAAGGGCAAAATGGTTATTTTTTAGGGTTTTGACTGCA